TATACAAATTTTTAAAGGCCAGTTTTAAATAAAATAAATAAATAAAAAAATGGTTGTTTACATAAATGTAAGACTACCCTAACTCACTATCAGAGCCATTAAAAAAATCCTGCATATCTCCTTTAATTTCAAAATCAATGTCAATGGTCAAATATATTTTTTTTCAGCATCATATAAGCAATAATAACTTTATATTACAATTTACTATTTTTCTCCATGCTCCACTACATATAACATCATCAAAGAAATATATTTAGAATTATCATGAAGGGCAGACACTATATGATAACTCTGTTTGGGAAAATGAGTTTCCAGAGACAGAAAATAACATCCCATTAATCATAACAACTTGATTGATGGACAACATAAGATGTTAGCATCAAATAATTGATTAGTAGATATAATGATAGAAATAAATTCAACTGTGTTAAGAGAAGACACACAATTGCAGCCCATTCATAAAATTGAGAAAAAGGTTAAAAAGGATAACATTTTTTTATTTAATTATACGTTTCGACACTGGATGTGTGCCATCATTCAGCTAAAATAATATATATTTGAAATACAATATTACAATCGGTCAACCAATTTGTATGAATTTCCAGAAACTTTGCCAAAGAAACTAATTCTAAAAATTGAAATTCATGCCAACTAAAATTTCAATAGTTATTTTATACTGTTTTAAACTCTTTTGTACCATGATAGAATTTTCTTAGATTTTCTATTATTTTAGATTAGATTAGATTTAGATTAGATTAGATTTTAGATTAGATTAGATTTTCTAGAATTTTTTTAATGTACTTTATATATATCATATATATTACAATAGTATAATGAAACTAGCTGTAAGTGGAATTCTGTCTTGAGGCATTTATGGCATCGTGCCTTAAGGCAAATTGCTGGAACTTCCCGTACCGAAATGTTCGAGGAATACTGAATGTTTTCAAATAGATTATTATAAATATTGTAACATTGTCTAATATTTATGAGAATTATATAAACTGAATTGCAGAGTTGAAAATATTTGTAAAGTATATTAGAACTATAGCCAGAATTAAAAATAAAATCTAAAATATTTTTGATAAAACAAAAAAAAAAAAAAAAAAAAAAAAAAAAAAAAAAAATTGAACAAAATTTTTTTTTCCAAAATCAATTATTTTGTTAAGACAAGCAGAAAGTTCTTTGAATCATTTAAATCGGACGCTTAGTTCTCTCAAAAACTGCCATTTTTTACATATTTAGCTCCATATCTTCGAAATGGCTGGGCCTGCCTTTGCCAAAAACTAATAAGCACTTCTCCCAATCATTACTAATTGAATGCTTTTTAGATCATTCAAATCAGATACTCCGTTCTCTCAAAAATTCGATTTCTATTTTCTGCACTCTTTGCTCCGTATCTCCGAAACGGCTGGACCTGCCTTTGCCAAAAACTAATCAGCTCTTTTCCCTATCAATAGGAATCGAATGTTTTTTGAACCATTCAAATCGGTTGATCCGTGCGCCCTAAAACGTGACTGGAAATTTGTATCCATACATACATACACACACACACACACACACACACACACACACACACACACACATCCATTTTTTCTGAGGTATGCCAAAACGTTCAAAAACCTTCAAAACGTCGAGAAATGTTAAAATTTTCAATTCCGATTTTCGGCCCATTACAATAACTTACCCTACGGGAAGTTAAAAAAAGGTCAAGACTATATCGAAGAAGTTTGTATATATATATATCAATTAATTTACAAAGAAAATATCAGGTTTACTCTTCTAGAAATTTCATACAACTTAATTGCATTATTAAAAGGGTTTATTGTTAAGACAAAACCCATAAAATATTACAGGCTTATGAAAAGTGAAAAAGTTACTTTATATAATTAACTAGAGAATAATGTATTTACCAAAACGAGAAATAATGAATTTGCTTCAACATATAAGCAGTGAAAAATAATATCAAAATTTGAAAAATGTAGCTTGAAACGTTTACCATCGTTTTTAAATGGTAAATTTAAGTAAAATCCCCAGTTTGGGTAAGATTGAAAATTATTCTAATAAGACAACTGTAGTAATCCAATTAGAACTAGTACTTTTCTAGAAATTTGATACAAAATCGTAGTCATAGAGATGGTAGTCGAATTAAAGCTCATAAAATATTAGAGTCCTATGAGAAGTGAACGAATTGCTTTATAGAATCATCGGTGAAAGAATGTATTTAACAGTAAAAAAATTATGAATCTACTCCAGAATATCAGATTATCAAGATTTGAAAAGTATATAAAAAATAGTTCTATCACAGTTTTCAAATTATTTGATAAATTTAAATAAAATCTTCATTTTTAGAAAGGGTGTAAATAATTCTAATAAGACATCTGCAATAATCCAATTAGAAATGACACTCGCATTTTTTACTCAAAAAATCAGGTTTACTCTTGAAATTTGGTAAAATTTGGTCATAGAGTTGATAGTCAAAACAAAGCCCTAAAAATATTATAGGCCTGGGAAAAGTAAATAAATTGCTTTATAAAATAATCTGCAAAAAAATGTTTCTAACAAGAAAAAAAAATTATGAATATACTTCACGTTATCAAGATTCTTATTAAAAGCTTTTTATCACAAATTTTAAATAATTTAATGAAATCAAGTGCAATCGTCATTTTGAGAAAAGTTTAAAGAATCATAATAAGACATCTGCAATAATCCAGGTAGAAATTACAAATATTTAAAATGCATTGTTCTTAGTATTAGTATTAATTACTTAGATAATTTTACTAATAAAAAGTTCTATGTATTAGGAATGAAATATTTGAATAATTTTAGTAATAAAAGTATTGAAAAATGTATAAAAAATAGGTCTATCACAAATTTCAAATAATCTAATAAAACCAAGTGCAATCGTCATTTTGAGAAAAGTTTAAAGAATCATAATAAGACATCTGTAATAATCCAGGTAGAAATTACAAATATTTAAAATGCATTGTTCTTAGTATTAGTAATAATTACTTAGATAATTTTACTAATAAAAAGTTCTATGTATTAGGGATGAAATATTTGAATAATTTTAGTAATAAAAGTATTGAAAAATGTATAAAAAATAGGTCTATCACAAATTTCAAATAATCTATTAAAACCAAGTGCTATCGTCATTTTGAGAAAAGTATAGGGAATTCTAATAAAAGAACATTGAGAAACCAATTAGAACTGACAACTTTTCATAATGCACATTTTTCTAACAATAATGTATTAGTAATAATTACTGAAATAATTTTACTAATAAAGTATTTGAAAAGTATATAAGAAAGAATTTTATCACAGATTCAAGTACAATTCTTATTTGGAGAAAAATTTAGAAAATTCTAACAAGACCACTGTAGTAATCGAATTAGAAATGACGATTTAAAATGCATATTATTTTATCTACTAGTAATAAAATATTCAGATAATTGTAGTGTTGAAAAAATTGAGAAATACATAACAAAGAATTCTTTAACAGATTACAAATTATTTATTTGATTAATTTTAAGTAAAATCGCTATTTAGAGAAAGGTGTTAATGGCTCTAATGAGATTCTTGCAATAATCCAATAAAGAATGACACTCATATTTATAATTGATATCAAAGCACATTCTTGAAAATTATTAAGTATTTATAATTGGATTTGGATACTTCTGTTTATAACAGGTAAATAAAAAGTTTGTCAGATTTAATGCTAATTAAAAAATTGAGTATATTATATAATAATAGTTTAGTAGATGTTCATGTAAAAAAAAACTTGAAAAAGACAATGAAATATTTTAAGAGTATTATAAATATTTTTTTATCTAAACTGTTGTCATTTCAAACTGGATTATTGCAGGGTCTCATTAGACTCTTATAAGGACATTACCTGAATTTATTTCATTATTTGAAATGTTATCATTTCAAATTGCAGGTCTCTTATTAAACTCTTATAAGGACATTACCTGAATTTATTTCATTATTTGAAATGTTATCATTTCAAATTGCAGGTCTCTTATTAAACTCTTATAAGGACTTTACCTGAATTTATTACATTATTTGAAATGTTATCATTTCAACTTGCAGGTCTCTTATTAGACTCTTATAAGGACTTTACCTGAATTTATTACATTATTTGAAATGTTATCATTTCAAATTGCAGGTCTCTTATTAGACTCTTATAAGGACTTTACCTGAATTTATTACATTATTTGAAATGTTATCATTTCAAATTGCAGGTTTCTTATTAGACTCTTATAAGGACTTTACCTGAATTTATTTCATTATATGAAATGATATCATTTCAAATTGCAGGTCTCTTATTAGACTCTTATAAGGACTTTACCTGAATTTATTACATTATTTGTCTCTTATTAGACTTTTATAAGGACTTTACCTGAATTTATTACATTATTTGAAATGTTATCGTATATAATTGGATTATTGCAGATCTCTTGTTAGACTCTTATAAGGACATTACCTAAATTTATTACATTATTTGAAATGTTATCGTTTCTAATTGAATTATTGCAGATCTCTTATTAGACTCTTATAAGGACTATATCTAAATTACATTATTTCAAATCTGTGATAGAATGTGTACATTTTGATATACTTTTCAAAACTTTTATTACTGAAATTATGTAAATATTATATTAGCGATACATGCATTACAACTAAGAAAGAGTTAATGAAATATTTTCATTTATCAGAATTTGAAATTATGTATACACCCGTACGTTATTAGAAAATGTAGTACTAATTTAAAGTATAAAAAATATTTTACAACTGTTACAACCATGAAAAGGGATATTTGATCTGATGTTGATGGAAAGACATTTACTCAAATTTCAAACGCGTGTCATTACAAAAACATTTATGTACGACATAATAAATATTTCGATACTTTAATATTGTTGTTACAGGTGCAGACATGTATCAATTACAATAAAATAACATGGATATTGATAAGAAATGAAGAAGCCAAATGGACTTACCCTCTCCAGTTTTTGAAAATATTCCCTTAAAAAAGACACAGGATTCTCAGGACGGGTTACACATAATTGTACAATACAGTCTTTTAGAAGGCCTTGTATTCTGTGCGTTTGAATATAATATTCGCATTCTCTTAAGCCTTGTACCTCTTCCATGTTTGACGCCATTTTCGTTGAATAATTTACTATATACAATTGATTCTTAAAGCAATTACTAAACCAGGCGTTATGTCAATAACGCTAATTGTATTTGATACACTAGACATATGATTGTGCATTAAATGAACACATAAAACTCGTTTTTATTCATTTAAACACGGCACTGGGAAAGCATATTTTTGTCAAGTCGCGAAAACACAAATGTCACCTGTCAAAGTGGAGGAGTTGACAGTTCGTGTTAAGGGTTGCCAGAGTAGAAATAGAAATATAATAATAATAAAAATAATAATAATATCATTTTAATATAATAATTACATTTGGAACAAAGAGTTAATCTCATTTATAAATCATTTTTACCAAATACAAATACTATTGTTATTTAATTTCATTAAATTTGTGCTAAAATGTATTTCCTCATGTGGCAATACCCGAACAACTTGTTGCATGCTTCATGCTATTTACGTTCATCTGTCTAATTTGCACAATTATTTTTAGTCTAGTTTTAAGTTAAAACAAATCTTTATTTATTTAATATATACCCACAAATCCCCGTGCCCAGTAATCATCAGCATTTTATATTATCCTTGCAAAAATGTAGTGCACATTTAGGATGTTACTTTTAATCGTAAACAAATCTCTTATCAGTACCATATCATGGGTTTGATAAACGATTAACTGACTCATAAGTACTCATGGCATCAAGTAAATCATTGTTTGAGCATCAAGGTATATATATAAATATAAAACAATCTGTGTGTGCAATTTTATACATTTTGATGCTTGATTTTAGATGCCTACTTGGTGGAGATGCTGGAGCAAAACAGCAGAAGATAAAAAAACTAGCATTACAATATTAGATTTGAGTCATCAGTCTTTAATAGATGTACCTAATGATGTATTTAGTCATGAACGAACGTTGGAAGAACTGCACCTCAATTCCAACAGGGTAATACATTTAATTTTATGTCAGTTTGTTGAATATGTATTACATTTTTTTTTTTAGATTTACGATCTTCCCAGACAACTGTTTTTATGCTTGGGTTTGAAAATACTAAATGTTTGCGACAATGATCTCACAAGGATTCCAAATGCAATACAAGATTTGAAAAATTTGAGCACTTTAGACTTAAGCAAAAACGGTAAACTTAAATGAATCATAAAACTAGTTCAATTGCTTATATAATATTTATTTTTAGCCATAACTATTATACCTGATTTGAACCAACTGCAGCATCTAAATATATTGAATTTAAGTTTAAACCCTTTGGACAGAATTCCAGATACGATTTATAACACAAGCACCTTAACAGAGTTATATTTGAATGATACGAATTTAACATATATTGTAGCAAATATTGGAAAGTATGTGGGATCTTAGTAACTACAATTAATGTATCAATACTTTATTTAAATATTTGCTGTTTTAGGCTTGTAAATTTATCTATTTTTGAAATACGTGAAAACAAATTAACATCACTACCTGAGTCAATATGCAGATTAAAAAAATTAACAAGGCTAGACGTTGGTCAGAATGAATTAACAAATTTGCCTTCTTCCTTTGGACAATTATCTAGCCTAACAGAATTATCATTAGATCTAAATTATTTAGAATGTCTACCAGAAAGTTTAGCAAAACTAAGCCATTTAATACATTTGGATGTCTCATTTAACAATGTAACAAATTTAGATAATGATAATGAAGAAAATCAAGAAATTAATGAAGAAATATCACAAACAACCAAATTAAAAAAGCAAAAACAAAAAATTGAAAGTGTGCAGAATAAAGATGTTAATAAGAGTGCAATACAAACTTTATATTTAAACAATAACAATTTAAATTATTTACCTATGCTAGTTTTTAATATGTGCAATTTAGTAACGTTACGTGTTGAAGGGAATTTTTTAACTACTATTAGTCCACAGGTAATAATAGGTAAATAAAAATCTAAGTACAATAAAGATAATTATATATTGATTTGTTTTAGATTGGAAGATTGTTGAATTTAGAAGAACTTTGTTTAAATAGCAATAATTTAACATCAATGCCTGGAACTTTGGGATTGTTAAAAAAGTTAAAAGTTCTGATGTTAGATGACAATTTATTAGAATGTTTACCGAAAGGTAAGCTTATTTAAATATCATCTACACTAAAATATAATATATATATATATATATATATATATATATTATAATTTTCATAATATTTTTTTCCCCAGAATTAAGTTCCTGTGAAGACCTAAGTATCTTATCAGTACGCAACAACAAACTGACTCATCTTATCTCAGACCTAGGACACTTATCAAAATTGAGTGTTTTAAATGTTGCTAATAATCGTTTAAGGCATCTGCCTGTAACTATTTTACTTTTGGATAAAATAAAGGCTATATGGCTCAGTGCAACGCAGAGTAAGCCTTTAGTACCGCTTCAAAGAGAACATTATGGGGACGAAGTTGTGCTCACTTGTGTTTTATTACCTCAAATTGATAGTAAGTAGATAGTTGTAATAAAAATTGAGATTTAATTATTAAGATAAATATTAATTGGCCCCCAGAAATATTAATTGAAAATTATTTTTTATTATTATTGTTACTGTTTTTTTCATTTTCTTCAGCTACTCCAACAATGGCAGCTAATATTGATAAGTCTGACAAAAAAGAAGCTGAGAATTTTACTGTTTTGAGCACACCAAGTAAACACATAAATTTCGCATTGGATGCAACGGGAGATACCGTGAAAGAACCATCAAGTCAAAAACAATCACTAAAATTAAACAGGTCTCCTACACCGTACCCAAAACAATTAAAACAAATGGCTAAAAATCTCAAAGCTGGAAGCAAATCATCCTCAAGTTCGGTGAGATATAATTGTATATAACAAATAAATATTATTAACTTCCCGTAGGGTAGTTATAGTAATGGGCCGAAAATCGAAAATGAAAATTTTTGCATTTCTCGACGTTTTGAAGGTTTCTGAACATTTTGGCATACTTAAAAAACTAAATGGATGTGTGTGTGTGTGTTTTGTATGTCCGCATTTTTTCGTCCACGTTTTTGGGCTGCAAAAAGGCAGGTCTAGCCGTTACGGAGATACGGAGCAACGAGTCCAAAAAATACAAATCTAGTTTTTGAGAGAACGGAATATCGGATTTGAATGATCTAAATAACATTCAATTTGTAATGATTGGGAGAAGAGGTGATTAGTTTTTGGCAAAGACAGGTCCCGCCATTTTGAAGATACAGAGCTAAATGTGCAAAAAAATGGCAGTTTTTGAGTGAACTAAGCGTCCGATTTGAATGATCTAAAAAGCTTGACAAATGAATTGCTTTTGAGGATAAAAAATTATTACATCTTTACATTACATTTACATTACATTTTTCATAAAATATTTTTGTAATTTTGGGTTAAAAATTAAAAAAATTATCCAGGCTAAGCACAGTCTAAGCGCCACTCTGGTACAAATGTTTACCCAAGTGCGTTTAGACTGTTTATGTACTTTTCCAATTTTGTGAAAACTATTGAAAAATGTGAAAATGCCGCCAAGCTAAGCACAGTATAAGTGAAAATGTCGCACAGAATTATTAACAAATGCGTTTAGACTGTGACTATACGGGAGCAATAATGAAGGAACTATTTTTTTTTTTAATTGAATTCGAAATGAAATGACGATTGTTAATGTTCTGGAGATAAATTATGATTTACATTTGATTTGCTCAGATATAAAAAGATAGCAAAAATAACGAAAGTTTCAGTATTTATAATAATATATTTGAAAACGTTTAAAATTTTTCGAATATTTCGTTACGGTACGGAAAGTTCCAGCAATTTGCCTTACACGATGCCATACACCACTAGTTTATGGATTTTGTGTAAACCAGAATTATATTTTCAGGAAATCAAAGAAGCAAGAATTATAACATCACTAGAGTCTTCCAACTTAGACAAATTTGATTCATTTGTTGTTTATGAACAGAATGTCGTAATTCGCCAAGCAAAAAACACAAAATCAACAGATTTGCTTGAAAAAAATTATGATGGCACAGATGTGGAGTCTACAAGCAATTGCTACAACACTAATTTCTATGGTGATATGAATAGAGATTTAACACCTGTAATATCTACTGAAACGGTCGGCAATTATAATAATGAAGAAGCGAATAACTTTTTTGTCAGAGAACCAAGTGTGCATCAGGGATTGCAAGAACAAATGTTTAATCATGAAGACGCTCAAGACCATGTTGTTTTGGAACAAAGTGTTCCGGAGCAACTAATTGAAAATCAAAGAGAAATGTTGTATGGTCAAGATATGCAACAAAATTCTTATCAGCAATTTAATGATGTGACTAATGAAAATTCTATGAGGAGATTTGATGAACAAAGTAATATTTCACAGGTAGGTGTTTTGTATTTTATATATATATATATATATATATATATATATATATATATAAGGTTGTCAAATATCTCCCTTCCGCCTTTTTGTATTATAAACCAAGACCAAAAAAGAGGAAGGGAGATATTTGACAACCTAATATAAATATAAATATAAATATAAATATAAATATAAATATAAATATAAATATAAATATAAATATAAATATAAATATAAATATAAATATAAATATAAAGAAATGGAATATAAAAATATAAAGATAAATATAAAATAAATATAAAAATATAAAATAAAAAATATAAATCTAAAAATATAAAATAAAAATAGAATATAAATATAAAAATAAAGAACCCTAATATAAAATCTAAATCTAACCATATAAATCTAAAAGATCCCTCTCCCTCTCCCCCTCTCCCTCTCCCCTCTCCCTCCCTCCCCCTCCCCTCCCCCTCCCCCTGGTAAATCTCCCTCCCTCTCCCTGTAAATCCCCCTAACCCTCCCCCTCCCCTCCCCTGTCCCTCTAAATCCCTCCCTCTATATCTCTCTCTCTCTCTCTCTATATCTCTTTCTCTTTTTTATTTCTTATAGGAAGATGCAATTGATGGATACCCATCCAATACAAATCAAATTTTTGATAATTCTCCCAACCTTGTAAATGGATCCAACGATTTATATGTTGAAGACAATAGAAATTTATATGCAAACCGCATGTGCATACCCCAACCAGACCAAATACACACACAAAACTTTCCAAGTAATGAAAACTACATATACAACGACTATCAAAGACCAGCAGAAAACAAACCGGTACCACCACCGTACCACATTGCTAGAAATTATTCTAAACACGCAAAATATTATGATGTTCTACACTCCAAAATAGATAATACAAAAAATAATGAATACAATGATTATCCCTTGCTTGAACAAACTAATTCAGATAGTCCTATATCGATAACAAGAAGTCAAATTGAGACACCAATTTCTAATGTTGAAGATGACCGGCATAGTATTAAAAATTTCGTTGATAACCAAACGCAAAGACCTTATGTTATTAAACCCAAGGCACATAAATTGACAACGGAACATGGTGATTATCATTTTCTTATACAAAATAAATTTTCTGATGAAGTTGAAAATAATGCTAATATACCAGAGGATACAACAAATGATTTTAATCATCAGAATATAAATACACAATCAGCAACAAATATAAATGATAAGTTTATTAAACCAAAAAGTACTTGGATGTTTGGTCAACACAAAAATGTGAAAGTGGTCAATTGCAATATATATAACATAGATTTTAATATCGAACACGGGAAAGATCAGGTACTAAAATATTTTTTTAAACATTTGTTTTATTATTTTTTAATATATTTTATCTTGCAGGGTTTATATGTAAAAACATGTGATGTTAATAGTGCTTTACAAGTCGGTGACAAATTATTACAAATTGGAGAAGAAAGTGTATGTCAATTATTGAGTAACATTAAAGAGACTGAAAATAGTTTATCAAAAATTATGTTATTGTTAAATCAAATTCCTCGTCCTTTTCAAGTTTTAGTATCGAGACAATCTTAAAAGTGTTTTTATAGTATTTTACCAGATCTCATATAAAAAATTGTAATAAATGTTTCTAATTGCTTTAATATTCTTGTAGCTTTTTAATATGTTGATGTTATAAGTTTTTATGGATTGTAAATTTATTCTAAATATATATATTTTATAATAAAAAGGAGGTTGTTTATTTTGTAATAATAAAAACATAATCAATATAATTGTTCATATAATACACTGGTATTATTTATTTTCTCACATAAAGCCCCGCTTTTTTTTTGAAATATTTATATTTATTTAATTTATAAATTAAATACGTTTTGGAGATATAGGATTAGTGCTCTTTTTCAGAAATATATATATATATATATATATATATAAATATATATTTATATCTGATATATAAATTTTATCTAGTTTCTACTAATGCAAACATATTATAATGTCCGGAATGAAAATTAAAGGATATTTAAAGAAAAGTTTTCAAATACTAAACTGAATTCAAATACAAATTTCAATACTAAATTGCATATAACAGTTTTTACTACACTTCTGTAAATCTTATCTAGTTTTTACTAATGCAAACATATTATAATGTCTGGAATGAAAATTAAAAGTTATTTGAAGAAAATAAAAAAATGTACCAAATCCATATATTGCATTTGATAGAAATACTAAAGTACGCATTTCAACTGCGAATTATACAAAATTTCAATATTCAAGTGTATATAACAGTTTTTACTGCCTTTCAGTAAATTTTATCTAGTTTTTACTAATATTAACAAATTATAAGGTACGAGAAGAAAATTAAAAGATATTTGAAGAAAACTGAAAACTGAAAAAATATCCTGAATCCACATATTGCTAATGACCAAAATACTATAGTACGCATTTCAACTACAAATTATTCAAAATTTCAATATCCAAGTTTTACTACATTTTAGTAAATTTTATTTAGTTTTTACTAATGTGAACATTATAATATGTAATAAAAATTATAATATGTGAAAGAAAAACAAAAATTGTACCAACTTTGTATGTTGCAAACTGATAACAAACAAACAAGATATTACATATCCTTGAAAAGTTGAATGAAATAATGGAAAACAATAAAAAATTCTTTTATAA